GTAGATGAGTCGGGAAACAGAGGCTGACCAGAAGAAGACAAAAATTTGGCATTTTTAGAGGCCCAGCAGTGGTAGGGGCGGGTACCAGTCCAAGTAGTCTGAGTCTTGGGCCTGTGCGGACAATATCAGATCCTGCAATGATGTTTCCCTCCGAAAGGGAGGAGGTACCGGTTGCGTGGAGGCCGCGCGGCCTGGAAGTCACCACCCTAGAGGCAAGTTGGCCGCTATATCTCTGGGAGGAGCAAAGAGCTCCTCCGCATTTTGCTGCGTGCAATTTGGCAACACGCTGCTGGAGCGCTGGTTGGGAGCAGCACTGGTGTAAGCAGTGCTGTGGGGAAAAGGAGCACCCAGCTCCCCACCTTGGCTATGGTGGAGGAGCTCGGGCAGGAGGAGGAGGAAGAAGGGGACTAGGCAAGGGGAGCACCAGGGGTAGCCACCTGTCGATGGTGGACGCCATCTTCATCACCTTGGTGGGCACTGCATCTGGAGTCCCCGTTGGGGTAGAGCTGCATCAAGAAGCTTCCAGGCAGAGTAAGGCATGGCCGCCTGAGAGGACGAGTCCATAGCTTCTTGCGTTGTCTTTTGCACGTCAGGGCCAGGCCCTTAGTAGTCCGCCATAGCCTCGGCCTAGATGAAGAGGAAGGAGAAAGGCCATGGCTAGGGTGGACCTCATGTTGTGCTTGGAGTGGAAGTCGAATCCGCACATTGATTCTGGTTCAGCCATTCATTATTATTATTATTATTATTATTATTATTATTATTATTATTATTATTATTATTATTTATTGTATGAATAAGCAGGGAGGAGACGAGGAGGAGTTGGTTGGCAAGAAGAAGGGGGAATTATCATTGGTCTTTTGATGGTGTACATCTTCTTCTTCTTCTTCTTCTTCTTCTTCTTCTTCTTCTTCTTCCTCTTTCCCTCAAGTTCATTCATTTCTTTTGCAATTGGACGGCATTGAACTTTCTCGTACATTCATTTGCACTTCGAAATTGGCCAGGATCGTAACAAGTCCTACAACTTGCCAGTGGAATTGGGACCGGACTCCTGCTCCCCAGAATGGAAAAGGAGCCAGGGCCATAAGGACCCGTTCTTATTTAAACACACCCACCCACACACCCACACCCACACACACACACACACACACACACACCACGCATACACAATACACACATCTCTCTCTCTCACACACACACACACACACACACACACACACACACACACACACACACACACACACACACAGAAGCCAGTGCATTCTCAGCCAGAACAGAAGGAACCAAAACCAGACACCAGACGGAGCCAAGTCACCATCCGGAACAAAAAAAACAACCTTGCACACTGCAGAGTCTTTGCAGGCAAAGTATGTGAGAGCGACACAAACGAATTTCAAACTGTGAAGAGAAGTTTGAGGTCGAAAGCAATCTCGCAAGCCCACATGTTACATACTTCAATGAGTATGGGCAGAACCAAAGATCAACCAATGTAGGATGAGCATATATGCAGCGGAAGTCTGATAAACGGACTGACTCACATAGGCTGATCTTATACACATCTAGATGTGTATAAGAGACAGGTGCTGGGACCCACCAAGTGTTCCTCTCTCTCTTTCTCTCTCTCTCTCTCTCTCTCTCTCTCTCTCTCTCTCTCTCTCTCTCTCTCTCTCCCCTTTTACTCTCCCCGCCACTCTGTTCCTGCCCGTTCTCTTTCTTCCCATCCTAGTCTACAGTCGTCCCAGTCAATCTCTCTCTCTCTCTCTCTCTCACACACACACACACACACACACACACACACACACACACACACAATCCGTTTTGTCAACTTTTGTGTGCATTTCCCAAGTACTTTCTGTCTGCCTATGTGAGCACTGCTTCGAAGTGCTACACAGTCTGTGATTGGTTTCATGAAGGTTCAGCATCCTGATGAGTCATTGCAAGTCCAATGAAACAACACCCACAACCAACATGTCGCATTTAGTCGCCTTTAGTGTCATTTAGGGCCGATTCCCACTCATGTTAAGCCTTTTTTTTTTTTTTTTTTTCGAAGGAAGATGCTGGTGGTCAGACTGTAAGGTACAGCAAGTGCGATATGTACCAAGGGACGCTGGACCCCAATTCCAGCAGGTGTTGCTCCCCACCAATAGACGGAGCAGCCCGATGGACAACGCCTAGATTCCGGTGGTTCTCGTACCACCACCGGGATGCAGGCATTGCACACGGGCTTGTTTTTTCAACAAAGACACACGCACACACAAAAGAAAAAAAAGAAAAAAGAAAAAAACTGGTCCTAAATCTGATAAATTCTAGCTTAGCACCAGCTTACCACCTGTGGGGCTTGACATTGGTAACTTTACTGTCCTTAGTAGCTTTACAGTCATTTCCCCTATTGAAGTTATCCTCAGTAAATAAGGGAGAGCTTCAGAGAGGTCATAAATTTGGTAACTTTACTGTCCATAGTAACTTTACAGTCATTTCCCCTATTGAAGTTATCCTCACTAAATAGGGGAGAGCTGCAGAGAGGTCATTCAAACTCACCGTCCAAGTTAAAACAGCTCTCACCATTGGCAGACAAACAAACAAAGGAAAGTTGTTGAAATACCCCTAACAGTTTGGGAATTTTGTCAGATACCCCTAAAAGACGTAGGGGTGCGCTGAAATGCCCCAAACTTCTTCATCTGCCCTCGTCCGGCTCGCTGGCAACTTCGCCGCATGCCCGGAGGGAGGGGGGGGGGGGGGGGGGGGGGGGGGCGCAACTGGATTTCCTTTGCCATCTGCGGGGTCTAACGGCCTAAAATACTGGGGCATATAGACGAGTTGCCCAGGGCCGGTAGGGGGTAGATGCAAAACATGACAGGTCCCATTCGCAAATGGGGTATTTCGGAGAGTTTCGCAAGTGTCATAGGGGCATTTCTCCATACCCATGCCTTTTATAGGGGTATCCAAGAAAATGCCCAAACTTTCAGGGGCATTTCAACAAATTTCCCCCAAAACAAACATCCAAACAGCTCTCACCATTGTGAAAATTTCTCCCCTATGGCACTGTACAGGAGAGTCGCTAGAAAACATACACAGGACATAAGGAGTGCATTAGTTATCGGCAACGCAATGCCAATACTGTTACTTTAATAGTCTTTTATTAAATTAATTTATTTCCATTCCGCTACTGGCCGGACCGCCCGGGTCACCTCGTTTTTCCGGGCGGCCCGGCCTTGCAAGGACCCAGGAGAGGACCAGCAGTGTTTGTGACGACATATATATATATATCGTCACAAACAGAACTGCCCGGTAAAACCGTAGGCAGAGAGAGAGAAGAGGACAACAAACGAGGGGCTGTGACAAACTGTTTCGTCGGAGTTTCANAGGTCACCGAGATAGAATCTGATAGGTCACCGATATGGTAGTCCAAAATGTCATCCAACAAGATCAAAATGTTGAGGACAATAGGTCACCAATGTCGGAGGTACAGAGTCCAAATGTAACCGGTGTCCAAACTGTGATGCAGTCGAGTATCAACCCCAACAATCTCCAAGTCTCCAATCCGGTAAGTACCACAGTCTCATATCACCGAAGTCCAACACTGATCTCTGTCCAACTAGTATAAGTCTCCAATCTGAAGAAGAAGAAGAAGAAGAAGAAGAAGAAGAAGTCGGGTCCGGTAGGACCCGTGTGGCGTCAAAGATGTAACACACTCGCCCTCTTAAAAGACCGAGCTACTTGCAAGGGCGGAGTTGTCTGTCCGATACCGGGATGGGTCGGGTGGGACGAGCTGCTGCCTTGGCAAGTCGTGTCCTCTCATAGTTGGTGAAGATAAGGGGTGCAGAAGTCTGCAAGTCTGCACTAGAGATCCACCGAGTGTCGTCCGGCGCACATTGCTTGAATGTGATTTTGTACTGCATTGGCTTGTTGCCATACTTGCGGTGCGTGATGACTCGGTCCACTTCCTGATGTCCGTCCATGGAGGGCGGATCCTGTGATCGACGTCCGGGAAACTCGTCATCTGAAGGTGGCGTGTAGATGGCCAGCTTCGATGCGTGGAAGACCCGATGCACTGTAAGGTGCGGAGGAATGTTGATCACGAAGGAAGGACCTGCGGGGTCGTCTCCAACGGCAGAAGTGACTTCCCAGGGTCCGAACCATTTCGGAAGGAGTTTGCGCGAAACATCCTGCTCGAGCGCAAATTCCTCGGAGAGGACCCAAACAAGGTCTCCCTCGCGGAAGGAACATGGAAGTCGACGTCAGTTAGCCTGCTGCTGCATGCGGATCTGAGCCTTTTGCATATTTGCGCGGGCTTTGATCAGCAAGTCCCGGTACTTCCGAAAGGAAGCGGGAGAGCAAGGGACGTCTATGTCGGCAGCTTGTGGCAAAAGGAGATCGGCGAAGATCCGTGCTTTCTCTCCACCATGATGTAACTCAAATGGTGTGACGCAGATCGCCGGGTGCACCGAAGTGTTATAGGAGAACTCGATGTCGGGAAGCCGGTCAACCCAATCTTTCTGGTCGGGACGAATGAGCGTACGCAACATCATCTGAGCGGTGTGGTGCGCTCGCTCCGTCTGACCATCCGTCTGCGGGTGCCGAGCCGAGCTCGGTTTCATTGTCATACCGGACTCAGCCATGAGGGAAGTCCAAAAGGCTGACATGAAACGAGTAGCTCGGTCACTCACTATGTCTTCCGGAACACCTTGGTTGGTAATCCAACCGGTGTGCAAGAGTCGAGCGAGCTCGGGCGCTGCAGCATGATACTTGCAAGGAAGAAAACGAGCATATTTGCTCAAACGGTCAACGACCGTGAGAATACCGTCATGGTCGTGACGATCGCGGGGAAACAGGCCTGTCACGTCCATAGCAATGGAGAGGCGCGGTGCCCGAGGAATCGGCAATGGCTTCAGTTCGACGAAGGGGACTCGAGATCGACCCTTGTTGCGGTGGCAAACTGCACATGACTCAATGTACCTCGTGACGTCATGGAGGACGTTGGGCCAGTGAAAACGCTGGCGGAGGCGTGCTAATGTGCGGTTCACGCCAAGGTGTGCCGAAAGTCGTGCGTCGTGGAATTCGCCGAGGAGACGAGTCCGTAGGATGCGATCTTGGGGCACAACTAACAAGTCCTTTCCTCTCGTATGAAGGAGAAGGAACCCGTCGGAGATCCGATAATGGCTAGCCGGCGGGTGATCCGATGAAAGTTCCGCGTAAAGCGTAAAGTAAGTCGGATCGTACTTGTAGCCTTTGACGAAATGCGATTGCAGATCGTCATCGAGGTCGACTGCCGTGGTCACAATGGCACAAAAGTCGGGCCGTCGTGAGAGGGCGTCCGCAGCTCAATTGGCGGGACCAGGAATGTGACATGGGTCAAARTCGAACTGGTCGATGTAATACATCCATCGACCGATCGTACTAGTGACCGTATCCTGCGTTTTGTAAAAGGTCAACGGATTGTTGTCCGTATTCCATTTAAAACGCCGACGGCCGAGAAGAAAGTGGCGCCACCGTTTGAGAACGGTGACCAACGCGAGTAGCTCTTTCTTCCTAGCGTCATCGAGAGTGTTTACAAGAGGCACCTTTTGGGAGAAATACTCGACCGGATGCCAACCGTCCTCGTGACACTGTTCCAACACCGCACCAATCCCGTATCCCGAACCGTCCGTGGTCACTTGGGTGGGTAGGGTGGGGTCATATATACGGAGGGCAGGTGCGGCTTGCATCGCTGCCTTCAACGTAGTGAACGCGCCGCGGGCTGCGTCGTCGAACTCGAAGGGCACCTTCGGGGACTGGAGTCTCGACAAATGAGCGGCCACTTTCGAGTATGACTCGACGAATCGCTGATAATATCCAGCCAACCCCATGAAAGAGCGTACATCCGTCGTGCAACGGCGTTCCGGCCAATCCACGATGGCTTGGATCTTGTCCGCTAAGGGACGAATGCCTTCCGGCGTAACATAATGGCCCAAATACTCAAGCTCTTGCTTGGCGAACTCGCACTTGTCGCGGTTCGCTTTGTACTTGGCCAGTCGCAAACGATTCAAAACAGCACGAAGGTGTGTGATGTGCTCGTCCAACGTCCTGCTATAGACCAAGATGTCATCGAGGTAGATGAGGACGCTGCGATCGAGCAAGTCGCGAAACTCAGTCGTCATAGCTGCTTGAAAAGTTACGGGGGCATTGGTGAGGCCAAAAGGCATGACAACCCACTCAAAATGCCCATACCGCGTCTTGAACGCGGTCTTGTACCGGTCTTGAGGCTGGATTTCAATCTGGTGGTAACATGACTTCAAGTCCAACTTCGAGAAGTACGTCGCGCCGCCTAACCGCTCAAAAAGATCATCAATCCGAGGGAGAGGGCCGACGTTCTTTATGTTTTGTGCGTTAAGTTTCCGATAATCGATGCATAACCGTAGGTCTTTGTTCTTCTTCCGGACGAAGAGAACAGGGGCACCATATGGCGAGCAACTAGGGCGAATCCAGCCCTTGTCGAGAAGGTCATTGAGTTGTGCGCGAAGCACCTCGAGTTCCTCTTCGCTCATGCGGTAGATACATCCACGCGGAGGGACGGCGCCAGCCTCGAGAGTGATCCCGTGACGTATGGGCCGATCCGAGACCGTTCCGGTGGGAGCCTCGAAGACGTCTCTATACTCGTCCAAGAGGTGAGAAAT